TGAAGTTTCTTCCCATGGGAGGGATTACAACCCCACTCTTCATAAGGAAGTATATTTTTAATCTGGACTTTACTATATGCAATAGTCCGAGTGTTTTGTTGAAAATAATGGACTACAGAAATGGATCCTGTTTCCATTAGTATTGCTTCAAAGTATTCTCTTGTTTTAACCCCATTGGAAGGGTTAAGATGGTTGAGCAAATAAAAAGGAGCAAGTTTTATAGGCTCAGTATTGATATATTTCTCATCGATAGTGATATCCATGAGATAAGCTCTTTCAAGGTAGGCAGATCTGGATATATTGGATGGAGTAGCAGATTTACTTTGTGCAGGAGAATATATGGGTTTTGAAGCTGTTGCTTCAGGATAGGTAATTTGGTGCACAGGAGATTGAGAAGGTGAACGAATTGCCAAAGGCGGTTGTTCCCCTTCATGTGGTATTATTTGACTGGTTATGGGTTGTTTATTTCTACGAGTGTCTCTAGAACCCATATTGATAGGTAAAAGTAAAGGTAAAATACTAATATTCGTATTTTCCTCGAACAGTTGCAAGGCAAGTGATAAGGGCTGTTTGTCGTTATGGTGGTTGTTACAAACAGAAGCATTAGATAATTTATATTTGATAAATAATCTACTTCCATCTGCTGTATTTAATATCTGAGTAGTTTTGTCAAAATATTTGGAAGGTACAAGTCCTTCATTGATACAATTTAAATCAGCCCTAGAATCTATTAAGGCTGATGTTTCAAAGCTATAATCTTGAGCAACAATGATCTTTATATATACAAACCATTTTTGTACTACTATTTTGTCTATTAAGTTCACCGAAGGAATAGGTGTTATCTTAGTTCCTGATGATTCAGGGATATCTAATGATGGATTAGTTTTTATTAATTCATCAAATTCTATTTCATCTGTATCTGAGTCTTGTGGAGACATTTGTTGTAATTCTAATGTTTTGATCCTATTTTTGAGTTGAACTATTTCAGTCTTTATTTCTTTGATTTCTTGTTTGAGATCTGAAATGGTAGGTTCCTTATGTTGAGAAGTATGTTGATCACTAACTCTTTTCATTATGATGCTCCAGGAAGAAGAACCAATGATAGAAGATACAATCCAAAATCAAGAAAAGGCATTTATGGATACTACCCCTATCACTGAAACCATAAACAGAATAGCTTATGGAAAATACTGGAAACCAATAACAGCTTTACCATATCACAAGAGACCTACACCTGTTGATGTACAAATGGAAGAAGATGACATACAACAGGCAGTGTCATACTCAGGAAGATCAATAGTCAATTGGCAAATAGATGGATTATCAGAATTAAAAATATTGGATGTCATGAGACATATGACTATGTATGCTTCTGCAAATAAAATGGCAGGCAACCCTGATCAAGAGGTTGCAAAAACAATAGTCAATGGATTTACTGGCTGGTTAAGAGGATGGTGGGATTTCTATGTAGATGATGAAACCAAACAACGAATCCTCACTAATACTAGGCAGTGGACCGCCAGAAATGAACAAAACCAAGAAGTAATATACACCGAAAGTGATGTTGTCAATACTCTCATGTATACCATTACACTTCATTTTGTAGGCAGTACAGCTTTACTAGCAGCAAGATCGGAAGATCTGCTATCTAATCTACGTTGTCCTACCCTATCTCATTATAAATGGTATAAAGATGTATTTTTCTCAAGATTATTAATAAGAGAAGACTGTCAGCTAGACCACTG